TCAAGCTTCTTTGCGTCCTTCGTGTTATCAAGATAATAACCAGAATCTCTGAAGGTAATAGAGACAATAGAAATCATCAACGGGAAGTTTATAGTTTGTGCTTATTATACCCTTGTTACCCCTTGTTACCCCTTTGTTGGAACCATTATTGTAGACAAGAGATGCGCCCAACCCAGAAAACTATAAATTAACTCATCGTTGTCGTTGATAGTGTTTTTGTGTTTCCTCAAATTAAAGTTATCTTAATAAGAGGCCGCAAAACTGAGACACAAGTTACTAATAGACAATGATGATTCCAAGTTAGAAAAACCCTCCTCGAAGTTTGACACTTTTCAATTGAAAAAGCGTAATCCGGAAAGGCAAGTCATTTTTCTAGGCGGGCCAACTTTCTTTTTCGTAATGAATACTTTTTGCCAAGTTTTGTATGGAAATCAAAGTTAACTCCGCACTTAGTTAGATCAGAGAGGTAAATGACTTTTTTTAACATGATATGTTTTCTCCTTAAAATATCAGTAACTTAACTTTATCAATTAAGTGTGTTTCTTTTTTCAAAAGTTGATAAATTATGCCAACATTATTTTTTGTGCTCGTAGAGAGTAACCATTGCAACATGTCGATTTTATTGACAGTGTTTTGAAGCCGTGTCACCAATCTAGCCAAGATAACTTTGTCCTTCATGTAAGCTGTTCAACAAGTTTTCAATGGAAATATGGGAAATACCAAACTTTTTCTATACGTACAGGTAGTAGCCTGAATCATCCTTCCTTGCGCTCTTCTTGTTATCAAGATAATAACCAGAATCTCTAAAAACAATTAACCGAGACAATTGAAATCATAACATCAAAAGTAAGGGAAATACCAACACTTTTCTATACGTACAAGTAATAGCCTGAATCATCCTTCTTTGCGTCCTTGTTGTTATCAAGATAATAACCAGAATCGCTGAAAGATAACCGAGACAATTGAAATTATAAACGGGAAGTTTAAATTTTGTTTTTATTATCAATAAAAACCACGCACCATAGACAAGAGATGCGCCCAGCCCAGAAAACGATAAATTAACTCAGCATTGTCGTTGATAGTGTTTTCAAACAATGTCATTTTGTGTTTTCTCATGTTAAAGTTATTATAATAAGAGGCAGCTTCACTGAAACATATTTTACCAATAGACAATGATGATTCTAACCTAGCAAAACCCTCGTCGGAGTTTGACCCTACAATTGAAAAATGGCAGTCCGAAAAGGCAAGGCGTTTTTCTAGGCGAGCCAACTTTCTTTTTCCGCATGAAAACTTTGAGCCAAATTTTTCATGGAAATCAAAGAACGCGTTCCAAACTAAAATGGGTTTTTCCAAAATACAAAATTCCGTCATAAAAGCTCTCTTTCGTTCTGCATAAAACGTGATTTCCGAGAGGAACTTAAAAGACTTGACTGCAGTAATATCAAAAGTTGGAGTGATACACTGTTAACACTACCGAATCACAATTTCAAACAGTTGTTTTAATCGATCATAATTACTCTGCACTTATATTTTCACTAAAAATATACAATCAAAAATTACGGGTAACACATGGACACAAAAAATGGGCTAAAAAGCTGCAGTAAGGAAAAGGTGTTCTTGGCCACAGGACTACAGGCTGCAGACAAATTCCAGTATAGTTTATCTAACGCAAATGAACGATGCAGAATTTCTGCATAACTTGAAAAAGTTTGATGCAGAAATTCTGTAAATCTTACTTTCTGATAAATTCTGTACATTTTCCACAACAACTGTATGATGCAGAACTTCTGCATCTCAGCCAAGTGGCTGGAAAAAGTTGGATGCAGAAATTCTGCAAATTTCATTCTCCGCTAAATTCGATACTTTTACTAACAACAATTGTGTGATGCAGAAATTCTGCATCTCAGCCTAATGGCTTGAAAAAGTGGGATACAGAAATTCTGCAAATCTTATTTTCTGCTAACTTCTTACATTTTCTACAACTTTGTGATGCAGAAATTCTGCATCTCAGCCTAGTGGCTTGAAAACGTTGTATGCAGAAATTCTGCAAATTTCATTTTCCGCTAAATTCGATACTTTTACTAACAACAATTGTGTGATGCAGAAATTCTGCATCTCAGCCTAATGGCTTGAAAAAGTGGGATACAGAAATTCTGCAAATCTTATTTTCTGCTAAATTCTTACATTTTCTACAACTTTGTGATGCAGAAATTCTGCATCTCAGCCTAGTGGCTTGAAAACGTTGTATGCAGAAATTCTGCAAATTTGATTTTCCGCTAGACTCGATACTTTTTCTACAACAGTTGCGTGACGCACAATTTCTGCAAATCTTATTTTTCGCTAAATTCCACACTTTTTCTACAACAACTGTGTGATGCAAAAATCATCTCAGCCTAGTGGCTTCAAAAGATGCAGACTTTCTGTAAATCTTATTCTCCACTTAATTGACTTATTTACGTACAGCAAAATGAAGGGTGTAGAAACAACTTCAAAACAACAGATGCAAAACCTCTGTACAATCAAAATGTAATTCACTATTCAATTCACTACACAGGTTTTGGCCACTTTGAAACAAGATTGGATTAAAAAGTGAATTATAGTCATTTCAGTTTCTGGCTAACTTGTTGCAGTGCCGGAGTGCAGATTACACATTGGCATTGTATAATTAGGTTTATAGCAAAAGAACTAATACTAATGGTGTGCTAATCAAAGTCAATTCTAAAATTTGGAAGTTTATTACTAACAACATCATATACCAAACATCTAATTTAGTTTGCAACAGCTGAATTTTCAACTGTACTAAACAAAATGACCAATAAAGCCCTCTTAAACCATATGGTACTCAAGTAGATTAAGGGCTGGTCTTAAAATGATTTATTTTTGTGATTCTTTACCTTTCACTACAACAATGGTCACTATGTAAACGTTTGGAAAAATCCAAATTTTCATTTTGTACTGCTGCAGCGGTTTCATTCGAATGGTAAGAACATAGGATTTCCTGTAACGACTCAAAAGGTACAACATTTTCTGCCTCCGTAATTAACTCTTTGAATAAAAGAGTAAGCACATTTTCCAAAATTCACTTAAAGGCGTCCAAGAGGAATAGCAAGATAGCTAACTTGAACAAATCATTAGAAATGCCCTTTCTTGGTTGAAAATTTTAACCAACACATCCCATTAGCCAATCACAAATGAGTTAAGCTCCAAATTCTCGGTATTGACCCCAACACTGGCCTGAAAAATACACTTGGACTGAGTTTAAAATGTTTAAAATGAATTTGTAAGATCTGTTTCTTACCAGTCGTTAAGCCTTAGTCATGGGATATTTTCAATAGTTTACAATAGTTTAAAATGCACTTTAAATCTGTAAACAACCAGGCCTTAATCTATCTGAGTAGTTGTGAGCTGAGTACTGGTACTTAGTTTTTGGCAGATAATGCGCTTGTCACATGATGTGCCTGTCAATGTAGCCTTCCTTCCACACATCAGAGCGGCAGTAAAAGCATTCCCTGTAAGAGAAAAGCATGAGGGGTGTAAAAGAGATGCACATCACAACAATTAATTTACACATAATTTTAAAACAGTAACTAACAAAATGAGATGCAAGAGTGATGTCAATTTATACATTTTTGACACCGACTAGAAATGAATAATCCCTTTTAAACCTACAAAATATGGCATGGTAGGTCAAGTATTACAGTCTATATCAAAACATAATCATCTGACTGCAATAGAGCATGCAGACTGCAGCTCTAGGGACACATTACACTGGCAGATCCAGAACTTCAAGTAAGTGAAGGCCCTTTCATCAAGAACTCCATAAATCACACAAAAATGATATGGTATATACATGCAAAATTACTTGCCTGTAACACACTTAATTGAAAGGCATATCTTGTCTCTACTAAAAAGATAAGTCATTCCGTGTAAAAATCAGAGCAACACCCCTAAATGAAATTTACATACCAACTTCATCCCCATATCCTACTTCTAGGATTAAGTCTCCATCCTTTGAAAACCAACTGATTATGTCCTTAAAAAGGAAACAGGGTATTCCTCCCCTATTCTTGCAGAAGTCACCTCAACAATGTTTGGAGGAGGAGTGGCATAATTGACATGGCTCTTTCCCACTATCCTAGATGAAGCCCAGTGGCCAACAATAAATGAGGATACCACCTCTTGCATTTTGCTACCTAAAGGTTAGAAATAGGCAAAGCATTAACAACAGATTTATTACAATGTGAACAAGTAATACATATGCCAGGTTAGACATAAAAATTAATTCAATTTTTGCTGTGATGTGAGAAATAGAAAACATTGGTCTTGAAAAATATATGGTATTGAATTTGTACAGCGCATTTTCTATATGCATATTCAAATGCGCTTTACAAGTTATAGATCCATGGGTGAGACCGGACCTCAGCATACACAGGTGCCTCTGGAAGCCGCTATCAGTCCATTAGCGATCTCACCCAACCCAATGCATATGAATGAATGAAATAAGGCCTGACCACAACACCGCCGAACTTCATGCCCTACTCTTTGCAAATGGTGTGTGGGTTCTTTTACGTCCCCACAGGGTTATGAACATTGAAAGGTTGTGAGACGGGCGAACGGTTTATCGTCCTTATCCGAGAAGACTAGAGAGTCTAGCCATTTGCAGATGTCATTACAAAGGCAGCACTGAGTTATTTTAAGACCCCGGTAATGGTCCGCCAGGGTTCGAACCTGCAACCTCCCGCACGACAGCCCGGTACTCAACCAACTGAGCCACCTGTGCGTGGTGGAAAACAGAGAATTAGGGTATTGTCAGCAATTGATTCCATGTATATTAATAATGGCCTATTCTCTCACCTTGCCTACTTTTCAGTTGTTGTTTATGATAGATAAAACCCTGTTGGGTCTGGCTTGCACCTTCCTTGGTAAATGTTTCGACACAATATGCGCCCAGTGCACAGGACACATAATGACACAGTTAAATGAGCTCAGGACTGTGAAGTTTAGTCTGAAAGCAGCTTAACTATTTCACTACATTTTTCTTCCACTTCCAGCTGTCCCTAAAATATATTGAAAACAGCAATAAGACAATAATTATTATTATCAACAGAAACCTTTGATTAATTGGACTTTGTGGGTGACTTTCAACAGACAATGTACAATAGGAAACACATTTAACATACATGTAAATATCTGTAAGTAACGGAGTATTAACAGCACTTGGGTTCTACACAGAACAACTTTTTTGAGGGGAGCAAGTAATGAATTTTGGTGGTTGGTTATCACAATTCTTCAGAACTGAAAGTGGTGTTTAATACATTTAATGACAAAGTGGAATGAGAAAAAGCTTCATCTAACTTCTGTTCAGCTGAAGATTCTCCTTTTAAAGTTCCTTATGGTCACAGTAGTAGTTTGTGAAAAAAAAAAGGAAGAATTTGTCACACTGTCATTTTACAAGCCAGTTAACATCCATCAAAATAAGATGAAGATGTGTAGGAATTAATGCTTATTACAAACACACAGGAAGGCATGTCATGTACCTTATCATCAAATCCAACAACTCCTAGGGCAAGGGAGATGCCCTCAAAGTTCAATTTGAAGATTTCCATGCTTTGGGTCACCTCTTGAAGGTTACAAGGGAAAACAGCACTGCCCTTGTTGTGCAGACCCTCATTACTGACAGTAAATTCTTCAACCCCCAGGGTAGCACCTGGGTTATCTTCTGCTGCCTCATGCCTAGCAGATTCCCACTCTTTCAACCTCTTCAGGAACACTTGGAAATCATATGAGGCCTCAAAATTTCCCTAAATTGAAGGAATAGGAACAATAAGCTACAAAAAAATATTGGAAGTAAATCTTTAAAAGATTTCCTACTGATTACCCAGCAAGAATTGGTGGTAATGCAATGCCTTAAGAACAGTCTGCTCCTTCAGTAGATTCCTTTGCAGTAGATAATAGTTACCTCTTCTTCATATACATGATAGAATTGTCAGCTACTCTCACTGTATCACTTGAACTTACTATTTACCTTAATTTCTCCTCCCCAACCTGCAGGATATATAGTTGTATTTTGTACTTGCATATAATGAAAAATGTTCTCAAATTTTTTTTTTAACACTAGAAGTATTACTATGAAAATCCAAAATTGTGAACACTAAGAGGTCAATGTGGTTAAATTTCAAGCACAAGAATAATAAATTAAACCACAAACAGTAATGGTAATATAAGTAGTTTGAGGTTTTATGTTACTTCTGATTGGTTGCTGTACAATGGGAAATGTAAAAATCAAATCAAAGTGTTCATAGCTTTTAGATTTCCACAGTAAATCTCTACAAAAATGGATCAGGTCTTAAGAAGAAAACTATGTGAATACTGTGTAATGTAACAATTAATGCAGATGACTGTTTACATAGTTACATACTAGGTAATTTCTATATTAGTCAACGAAAAACATGTTGGCTTACTGTAAATCTCAACAGCTTCTCGTTGTTGACCATTGGACCAAATCTCTTGACTATCTCATCCCAATCGCTACTTTAAAGAATGACATAACTGTAAACTGTACAGTGTTCAGTGTCTTTATCTTGTCTGCTTCTGTTTTTAAATCTTTTAATAACAATTCACCAGAAGAGATCTAAAAAGAACCAGATAATAAAGACAGGGGTTTGTAGAGCGACAATTGGAACAGAAGCTACATAAACACATTTTCAAGGGATGCCAAAGAGAGAAAGTACACACAAATTAGTTTAAATTCTTGGGGTTATTAGCCACTGAAAAGAAGTGGAATTTAACTTAAAATATAATAAAATACAAAATGGAGTGAAAAACAAAATTTCATGCCAGACTGTTGCAATATTGCCTTTACCTTGTTCAAAAGGAATAGTTTTGTTTCATCAGGAAGGCTGACTAATGGCTTCATATGCCACTGTTTAATTGCTAATGTCCCTTTGACGACATCGCCAGGAGAAAACTTCTGCCCTTTGAGCTTCCCAATCTCGTACAGCCTGTTTACCTCCATGAAAGCGCCCAAGTACTTGAGGATACTTGTGCCATAGTGAAGACCTCACACAAAATTCTTTTCTGTAAGACAGAATTTCTTAATGTGAGCTGCTGATAATGGTGACATAGCAAAGTACACGATAGAAAAAGATAGATGACCTCGGAGATTGGCTAGGTGCATGTAACTACATGTCAGAACAATATAACTGTCTTTGGTCAAGGAAGGGGACAAAAGTACTTCAAATAAAACTTGAACACCATTCAACTGTAATCAAGTGACTATGTGTTAGGCAATAACCAAAAAATTAATGGTTCTCTGTTTCCATGTAGGAAAATGTCACGACTGTAATTCTGTTACCACTCCTTTCAGCAATTTCTTTTAAAAACTCAACTTGCATTACTTAAGTGAATTAAATTCTTACATCTTTGTATAAAATACGAGAACACTCATCTCTCCCACGATGGTTGCGGCTTTGGAGGTTCACTCTGTACATCAAGCTCTCCATATAGTTGAGATCTACATCTCTCTACCTAAATTAATTTGTATGAAGAAAAAAAATGTAAATTAGATGACACAAGGAAAGTAGTGGGAAAGGGCATATTAAAAGTTATTAATTCTTCATATTGCCTTAACTGGGCTCTATATTAACAAACAGGCTGGCCATTACATACACTGTACATGTACATGCAACATCATTGATTATGCAGTGTTTCATATTCATTGACAGACTAGCAAATAATATTCACTTTCTTTAATGACAACAACAATGTGGTATGCTTCAAGCATGCCTGAATTCAATTTCAAATCCAAAATTTTAATACAAAATGTACCTCTTCTCTGTATGTAATGTCATGACAGAATGATGACGACCTTTGATGCATGGCACCAAGGTAAGCAGCCTGATCATCTGTAAGGCCACAGTAGATTCTTGCCATTCTGCCTTGGTAATGTTTGTTTTCTGGGTACTGGGAATGAAGTTTCTTGGTGGCTAGCATCAGGTGAGTACCCCCCAAAACTTCGTACTCATATGCATCCTTTTTAGCTGGATCAAATGTTTCTTTGCTTTCTACACCCTTTGCAACCACGAACAGACATCCATGACTTCCACTTGGCTCTTTTTTTAACAATTCTTCTTTGAGGCTGTCAACAAATGCATCATTTACGCGTCGAAATTGCCTTGATGGGCCGACAGGCAAACCAAGCTTCTCAATGGGAATGAGTTGTGATGTTGCTGTGATGATTAAAACAAAACATAGATCGCCTTAATATTAACTGCAGTCTAGATACTGCATTTTCTAGATTTAACAACTGGCATGCCTCTCTCAAAATTCCAGAAACATTTCAGGTTTGAGAAGCCACTTTTCAAGCTGTTTTTTGACTGAATTGTACTTTGAGATAGCCAGCCTAATGTAATTTTTAACTGTACAGTGTATAGCGTGCTTAGTTATTAACAGAAGAGAACTTCTGGGAATGAGCCTAATGCATGCAGAACAGCTTTTCAGGAGTTTTGAGAAACTTAAACTTGGCACCAGTAATGAACGTCAGGAAATAAGCAAAATGATACCTTCTGTGATGTTCCCATAGCAACACTCTAGGTCTAAGGCTTCTTTAGCCATGAATCAAATATCTCCAATTTTGAACAGGTGAGGAGTGAACAGATGGTCTTACTTGAAAACACATGTGATACCCATATTACCTTATTTAACTCTTTACCACCTCATCACAGGTGGACAATGCTTAATAATGTTAAAAAAAAAAACTGGAAACTTAATCCAGCATGAAATAGACTGGGAAGCAGAACTGTTATTATGTCTTATCTGACGTACATAAGCCATTTCAGAAACGTGAGAGGACTAGGACGAAGTTTCTCATACTTGCTTAGATTGAAAATCTAAACTCTTCAACTGAAATGTTACCAAATAAAAAGCTATCCAGCCAACTTTGAGAGTTTTCTACGGAAAATTGGCCAAATGGGAGACTTGCAAAAGTTGCAAAATCCCATACAAACCCTTCTAATTTTGTGGCCTGTCTACCCATTCCATACGAACTCTCTATTTTAGGTGATATTTGAAGATATATTATTTCGCCATTTTCCTCCTCTAAATACATCTCAAACTTGGTTGATCTCTCATTTGAATGTCTTAGTTTTTTTTAAACAAACAGAAAGCAACCAAACTCGTCCCAGTCCTCTCACATTTCTGAAATGGCCTATTACTGGTGCCAAGTTTAAATGGCATCACTTATATATTTCCAGAGATATTATCAATTTTGTGATTTATCTTCTTGCTTGAACCACTGATGACATCATCAATTTTAAGCTTTGGGAATGAAAAAACATCTTTTGAAAGAGAAAGCGCCATTTTCGCTCAAATGCAAATGTAATTTTTTACTTCATAGGCACTTAAAGTAAAGTTTCAGGGAGTATTAAAGACAGGTTTTTGCAGTGCTTGACAATCAAGAAAAAATATTGTTGGAGTTAAAGTTACAATTTCCAGGAGTTTCCAGTCCCATTCAACACCACCAATAGAATTCCATGACTAAACAGAACCTATACGAACCCTGTGTATATAAACAGAGTGGGGGAAAAGGGGTAGGGAAGTCAGATGATACGATTTTACTTCAAGCAAATCACACGTGTACGTGATCAAATTTTTCTCTAATTTTGGTGTAATTAATAGAGTGGTCTTCAAATTGAGTGCCGCAAAAACCACAGCAATCACTTGGACTAATCACAAGAGATGCAGAGAGCTTCTAAGAGAACCAATCAGAATTTTAAGTACATGCACACGTAGTTAATGTAAACGATGCAAAGTATAGGAAATTGCCCGTATGTAACAAACATGCAATTGGCTTTAATACGAAAATACAATACAATCTTTTTAATAATATGCTCAAAACTTTAAGTTTAATTGCCAGTAAAGCGACAGGCTATTTTCTTCCCCACCAACATGGACACCTTTCATGATGAAGTCACATAAAAGCACTCACTTGAGATAAGGCACTTCTCACACGATTCTTGCATTTCATCACTTCGTGCAACTTTTTTGGTGGCCGTTGACGCAGGGGACGAGCATTTCCTTTTCCTAGATTTGCTGGAACAGGCCGGGGACGTATTTTTGCTGCTTGTGCTGCTCTCTGTTGTCTTATCGATATCCGGACCTTTCTCGATGTCTGCGACTACCTCGGACAGGGACTCGGATAAAACGTCTGTTTTATTGCACGAACTAGATGAATCGTCTTGGGACGACCTCAATTTTCTTAAGGCATTTTGAAGCTCTTCGACTAGAGCTTCAGTTGTTTTACTTACACAGTGGCTGAAAGCCTTATGTGAACCAAACCGATTGAAGGATTTCCCGGGGAGGAGACAAAATTGACTTTTACCATCTGAAATGAATTCAACCTACAATGAAGGTGGAGAAATGTGTTAGTAAGAGGCCGATAAAATCCGTTACTTCCAATAGCCAGCAACGAGCCTGAAAGAGTTTATTGCAATCCCACAGGGTCGAAAGGACCAGCAAAGTTCAGTCAACTAATACTCCATGTTAACTATGGCGTTATATCCCCGCCAAAATTCAAGGTTTGCTTTCGGTTTGCTTTCGATGTTCAAGTAACCTGCGATCAGGCGTACCTTTCCTTTTTTAGTGCACCCTGAAAAGTACGCCTAATCGCAGGGTAATGTTCAAGTTTATCATTTAACCTTCATTATCACCATGCGACGTTTGCATTTCGTAATTGCACATTGCTGTTTTTTATCATTCAGCATTGTTGCGTGTGATGCCACATTGGTGTTTCACAATGAGACATCGATCGGAGTTTTAACATATTCAACATTCAAGTTTCAACATAGGCAGCCCAAGCTCGCGTCACTACAGACAGCCATTGAGAATTTAAACGCGTTATAAGACTTTGTATGGGAAATCAAATACCGTCGATTATAAAGCCTAAATAATGCTCAATTTAACTTTCATTCAATAAAATGAATCAAAATGACTCACCTCTGGTGTATTCTTGAGCCTTCTGGAGCTTATTACACCGTTTCGGTAGTTCTGTGTTTTCAGTGTTTTCAATGTTCTTAGAACTCTGTGTTCTTAGGCCCGGTTCAAACGTCGAACGGCACTTTTGTATTTGGGTCGACTCTGCCGTTCTATTCGACTGAGCTTGTCGAATAGAACGGCAAAAAAATCGACTTCGATTCATTCGTCGTACTTCACATGTGCCGAACCTAATGCATAAATCATGACAACGTATTTTTCAATATAACCGCGCTTGTGATTGGCTGTTCAGTGGGTTTTGGCGCCTATGCTGACAGAACTCACAGAAGCGTAACGACGGTTACCATCTCAGGTTACCAGCATTCACGTTGTAGATTTTTAGACTGTAACTGGACAGCTCAAAGCGGTCTTCTAAAGAGTTGCTTTTCTTTATATCTATAAAGAAATCGTAATGTAATTCAAAATTTATTGCGTTACTTTATTTTGTTCAAATATCAAGATCACGATCTCCTCATGATGCATGTAGTAACATACGAAACGTTAAGTTTATAAAAGTTATGCATTTCAAACAATTGTTTGTAACCGCTGTTTGCGTTTTATTCTTTTTGGGAACAAATGGCCCAAGTCAAAGAATTTTTATGAAATATATTAACTTGCGTAAATTCAGTGCGTTGCACAAATGCGACACATATAGTAGCTCATAAATTCGCATACCTCTACAGACTGCCAAATTTGTAGCCACGATTTTCAAATCTTCAAAATATTTATATCCAAAATCAATAAGGATTCATTTTGCTGAGTTCTTTAAAAGGAATCTATGTGTGACGAGGTATACCTACAAAGTATGCTGTTTAAAAACAAAGCATAGCAAATTTGACCAACATCTCAACCTGAATGAACATCTCACCAGGTAAAAAACAAATACAGCACGTTTTGTTAAGTTTTCTAGTGAGTGACTTTCAAAGACAGTTAAACGTAATTTAAACAAATCTTTGTCGATAGGCTAGAATTTCCGAATACCCAGCTATTTCAGTTACATACCACTGGATAACAACAATCTCCATTGTTGTATGCCTCGTTCTTCAAAAGCTAGCTTCTCGCGACACGTGTAAACAATAGCCGGATGATCTTAAACCGAGACTTTTCTGTCATTGCTAACGGAAATGAATAGATTGTGGTGGTATTTGGAACTCAAACTTGGAAAGAATTTCCAGCCAACAATTTCTCGAAACCCAAGACAATAGTCATGTAAAATTAATCGAACTAGAGTAGGGATTATTGTAAGCGGAAAAGATAAATTTTAAAGTCTCACCTTGACGAAGAGCTTATTACTCCCTGCTTGGACAGAGGATGACACGTTTACCACTGTACCATAACGCTGTCCATCACTCTTTTTTTAAGGGGCGAACCATCGCGAAACACTTTTGGCTTGTCCCCGCGTTTTGCTAATTGGATCGTCCAGAGGCCCATTTTGCGAGTAAAGGCAGGAAACGTTAAAAACGAAGCTTCTTCGGATGTGCGACAAGTTGTAAGAACCGGAAACGAATTAATGTGTCAAAATATTCTAGCCGGTACATCTGAAAAGTGTTTGAGGGTAATAGAATTTAACAAATCACAGGGATAAAGAGAGACAAAGAACGTTGAGAGTTTCGTGGAAATAGTCCAATGATTTTGAGACACGTCATAGACACGTCATTTTACGTTACTGTGTTTAATCGAAACCGTTCCCATGCACGAGGTATACGCGAATAATCGACAACTTTGATTTACTACAGACCATCCGATGCACTTTCAGTGACAGATAACATGCGGAATACGTACAAGGCACATTTCAGCCATTAACCGTGATTATGAGCGACAAACGGATAAGTGAGGAAAAAGAATTTCTTGAAGCTTTATGTCAACGTAAAGGAGATACTATCTTTCAAAGTACCCCTATCAAGAGGCGTCGAGGTGGGGACCATTGCGCTGCGGCTGGAATAAATGACAACGGTGAGTGTATCAAATGGTAAGCGTAATTGCAAAACGCCACTACCGTAAAGAGCATGTAGACACCCTTCGCTCGGAGACGAGGACAACACGCAAGATATTCCCCAACCGTTAATGCCAGCAGATGAGCTTACTATTTATGATTGCAGAATCCCCGGCCCAGCAAACGCCCTACTTAAAAAAGCTGCCACCGCGGTCCGCAGTCCAGTAGTCGATGAATGAAAAGTGTTAAAATGAACTGCCATCGCGGTCCGCAGTCCCATAGTCGATGAATGGAAATTGTTAAAGGGAAAGCATTAAAATGAACTGTACTTTAGTATTTGAATATTATAGTATTTGAGTATTGGGGTATTTTAGTATTTGAGTAACTTATTAATTTAGTATTTTAGTTATTAGGGTATTTAGTTTAACATGGCCATAAGGGAGAATACAGTTTTTCTACTGTAATTATGCACCCTATAAATAAGGTGTTCTAAAGTGTTCTAACTGCCACCGCGGTCCGCAGTCCCGTAGTCGATGAATGAAAACTGTTGAAAGGGCAAGCAAAAAATGAACTGCCACCGCGGTCCGCAGTCCCGTGGTCGATGACTGGATATTTGATAACTCCGAAGAGTAAAATGGTTGTGACCGGGGTCCGAAGTCACGTAGTAGTTAAATAATAATTGAAAATAACGGCCAGTTTTTAAGTGGCGTTTTTAGGATTTGTGGATTAAAGAAGGAGGTGTATGACACGTTGAGTGTCCTTAACTGAACCACAAAATGAAAGCTAAAATTTTACGAGAATGCCTAGGCCTAATCACTGAAGCGAGCGCTTAGGCTTAATGAGTAGACGAGTGCTTTCTTCTTCAGACGATCTCATGAAAAGTGTAGTTAACCGAACCGCGAAATGAAAGCTTAGCAGTGATTGCAGAATACCCCGTTTAGGAACAGAGTTGTTTATATGTATCATTTTCTGTCCCATGCCACTGCGTCGTAAGAATTTTAGCTTTCATTCTGTGGTTCAGTTAACGACACTTACCACGAGTTCGTGTGAAGAAGAAAGCACTCGTTTACTGATTAAGCCTAAGCGCTCGCTTCAGTGATTAGGCTTAAGCATTCTCGTAAAATTTTAGCTTTCATTTTGTGGTTCAGTTAAGGACACTCAACATGTCATACACCTCTATTATTAAAAGAACGAGGGGCATCTGTTACCTTCTTAATTAATTGTAAACTGCGTGACAGCAATAAATTAGTCTTGAAAAGCCCCGAGGGGAGAGACTAATAATTTCACTTCACTTCACTTCAAGACTGCGAGAATGCGGTAGCAGTTTTTTAAGTAAGACATTTGGTGTACCGGGTATTTTGCAATCTAGCCCTATTTAGTTCAGGCAACCCGCGGACTGGAACGTTAATGCCAGCTTGTATTCCGACAATCAAGAAGAAAACCGTGGTGCATGCATGTTTTTAATTTTGAATGGACTTTATGGACTAACCAGTCATGATGATGATGCACCAACAAATTCCCCGCCCTCTTAAAAACCTTCTATAATTCAACTTAAGATGGCTCTTTTAAGGATAAACGATAAACGTCGTTCTCAGGAAGAGAAGATTGAAATATTGCTCCAGGCAGCTACAGGTAATTACTGCGCGCTCCTGGGGAAAGTCATAATCATCGCGCCACGTGAACAAAAGTTAACGGACATAACCTGCGATCTGGGGCCGGTTGCTCGAAGCCTGGTTAGCGCTAACCGTTGGTTAAGAGGTATCAAAATGTATAGGTTTCCATGCTATTTAGCGCTGGTTAGCACTAACCATGCTTCGAGCAACCCGGGCCAGGCGTACTTTTCTTTAGAGAGGGCGGAAATGTACGCCTGATACAATTTTCTTGACGAGTCATCTGCCTGCAGTCCAGTTCAGCTGATCCAATTATGTCTGCCGAGAAGGATTCGAAGAGGAGTGATGTTTAGGCTCTGTTTACAGCTGCTGTTGCTTCGACTTCAGATTTTTTTCCAAAAAGTCTTTAAAGGAACGGCAGAGAGAATGCATCCAAAGAATGGTTTGTCTAAAAGAAGACATTATAGTTGTAACTTCCATCGGAATTTGGCAATACCCGAACATTATAGAAAAAATGTATCGTACCACTTCCATCGACTCGGAAACGTTTGTGATATGGTGAGTCCTTTGGAATGTATTCGGAAGGATTCGGAAGCAACAAGTTGTGAATCAAATCATAAAATGCGCCAGAAACTTGTGTCAAGTTTTGTGCCTATGCATGTTGTGATATTTTCATGTGTAATATATTTCATTTTCATTGAAGACTTTTGCTGTTGTGTTAGGAGTTGATGTCCCAATATTATCATTATACCTAATGCAAATTTGTAAGCGCATCTGTTTTCTAAGTGCAAATTTCCCTCTTATAATAAGCACCTACAGTAAAAGAAGGCCTTTGAAAAATGCAAGTGTTGTAATCATGACAGCTGAAGTAAAAGCAAGGAACTAGAGTATTTGTAGATCAACACTGACTATTATCTTTGTAATGGAAACTGTCTCAGTGGTCACCAAGTTGTAAAATTTAGTTGTCTTAACTTTTTCCCTACTTGTGTGCATTTTTTGCAATCCCTTAGATCAAGTTAAACTTCCTTCCTGTGGGGCACACCCATGAAGAGATTGATGCTTTTTTTGGGGTATATTCGAAGCACCTGGATCTAAATGATGTTTACACAATGGATGGTAGGTGTACATATCTCTTGTAATACAGTAACCTTCATTTTTCCAAGTTTGGCAAAACAGGTTCTTATATTTGGGGAAAGTTATTGGCAAAATTTAGGCTAAAGTAGGTTCTTAATTAGGTTCTTAAGTTTTTAGTAGGAACCATTCATGTACAAGCAGAAAAAGTAGGTTTGGTCCTTTATGATACAGCATTTATTTATAACTGTCTTGTCATGAGCCGTGTGCAAGACTGACTAAATAATTATAATTATACACTATAAACCGTACGCGCGTACTTCCCATGAAGTATTCCCTATTTCTCAAAATCAGTTATACTTCATAGTGAAAAATGCTTATGAAAATATTCCATAAGTCACGTATAAGAACCTAATAAATTTTGCTTGGCTAAACAGGTTCTTATATTTTTGGGTATAAAAATGGGAAATTTCTGCCAGCAGGTTCTTAAACCGCTAGGTTCTTACACGCATGTTTGAACTAAACAAAGGGGTGCCTGGATTGAAGCATCAAGTAATTTCAGATAAACTGCTGGATTCATCTTTCAGTTACCTTTGTGTATGCTCGTAAATAAAGGGATAATTTCATATGAGATCATAAGTCACTTGGGACATAATACCAATAACCCATTCACATGAAATAAGAGATAGATTGTTGCAATTATAATTATTTATTAATATTAATACTATTTACTGAGATAACATTTGCAATTTTCTTTTCTTCTCTCCCATAGAAATGCAAGAGGCAATGAAAAATTGCATACAGAATGTCAAAGTCCTTCCTTTTCTGTTGGATGCTGTGTACAACATAAAAGAGTGGCTGGCACCTCATGCAGAGCAACTGCATGACCATACTCAGCCAAAGTGCTTCAAATTTGTCAGAAATGCTGCTGGGAAGTGCCAAATGTTTTATCGAAACTACTCGCACATGCCATGGGAAGGTCCTGTGATTATTTTGAAGGTGCAGTTACAACCTTTTATCATTTGTCTGCATCTTACAGATCATAATACTAAAGTGATCTTTTAATTAATGCATTGCACTGTTAATTGTTCATCGTAAAACCTTTGTTCTTACACTAGAGTCATCCAGGTGGCAAACCAAGTCTTGTGAGACCTGTGTTAGACAGAATTGATGTTGAAGGTTTGAAGCGTGACCTTAACAAGTTCAGAGATCACTACCCTGAACAGGCGTTCTCATTTTGGAGTGAGTGGGTGAATAACGTAGACAATTTGGCTGCTGTGCCAGAGGCATGGGAGTGGCCTTTGAATGCTATTCTGATCGCAGAGAAAATAAAGCCATATACGGTTGATCAATCTGTCCCTGAACACCTGCAAGCTCTACAGGACAAGGAATGTCGGCCAACAAAACAGGCAAGTTGAAATTGTCTGAGTTGGTGAATTTTCTGTTATAAGTCTACTTTCTAAGGGTTCACATGTTACGACTTGGCAGCTCTTTAAGTTAAACATTCTCTCATATCTGAGTTCGTCAGTTCTTTAAGGTTACAGTGTACCTTAAGGGGTGGCTCCAGTTTAACGGGTGTAGCGCCTCTCGGTTACATCACAGATACCCAAAACCCTATATCAAATTAAAGCTTATGGAACTGGGTATTCAAATATTTCATTGCTTTTTCAAGAAAATAAATTCCTAAGTTTTCCGCGTAGTCTAAACTTGAAGGCACAGATCGTCTTTCTACAGTTCCAACTCAATGCGATTTTTACATTTTGGAAGTTTTTTTTTTTTTCTCACGGTCAGCATCTCAAAGGTTAAAAAAAAAACGTGTCAGTGTTTTCCTTAATTCGATTGCGTTCAAAAGTTACGGAACATTTTGAAAACTGCAAGAAAAAACATGCGGAGTGAACGCACGGAAATGGCTGTCAAGGAAAGAGTTTTAAGAATTATCGAATTCCCCGACACGTCTCTGTTGATTACATACCTTTCTAGCATCTGGCCAAATTTTACCGAAATCGGCCAAATCGTTGTTGAGTTGTAACTCTTGAAAGTGTCTCCTTGAAGCGAAAATTAAAGTTCGAGAAAAGAGCGCTCAAAAAAAAAAAATTATCGCTACAGAAACAAGTACCGCCCCCTAACGCCTTTACGGGAAATTAGGCAATTGTTTCGCAAGGCCCTTTTTCTTCCGGTTACCTGCTGTGATGATTTTCTCGCAATTTTGCACGTACTCCCGTTACAGAGTAATCAATTCCTTCGCCATTTTGTTGGATATTTGCGGTTTTTATTTTCCGTCGATATTGCATTTTGTATACATAATCATCGTGAAAAAAAAAACTAAACGAGGAAAGACCTCATCAAGCAAAGCTGTTGGGCCCAAGCCGAAGCGACAAAGGCGGGCTACAAATCATCAGCAGAAAGAGCGGCGGAAACACCAGTACCGGTGAACCATCGTGACCGCATGATTACCTTATGCTGTCAATCAAAGTGGAGTTTAACTTCCGGTGGAAATCGCTTACATCCCAATTTCTCGGCAAATATTCACTCTTTTGAAAGATCTTGCTGCAAAGTTTATTTCCAACTTAAAAACGAAAATCGATTTTTTTCCCTCTGAACGTACACGGTAACCTTAATTAACCTTTTCTGATTAAACTGTATCCTTTTTCAGATTTACACTGGAAGGTATGTTGCCCCAGCAACAGAGAAAATCCTGTTGAACGTGTTGACTCTTTCTACGAAGGGCTTCAAATTGAAACATATGCAGCAGTTTTCTTATCAAACTGTGAAGAGGAGCCAGTGATTGGTGTTTTAAAAGAGATCAGTGAGGATCATTTCAAAATCCATTACTGGAAAGGCACATACAGAGGAAAGTGGTCACCTTTAAGCCTTCCAAGAACAAGGGAACCTTGGACAGAAGTTCTTCCAAAGGAGTGTATTATTCTCCACTCCTTTGAACTTACTGAAGCAAAGAAGCTGCAGGTGACTACAAGAAGGCACTTAATGGAAAAGTATTCCTCACTGAGGAATAGTACAAATAATTCATAATCACCAGGATGCACACTGTTAAAACCTTCACTCCCAGTGCCCATGTAAATATAGGAGAAAAAATCTAATTCATTTTTTTTGTGAAATACTAAACACTATAAAGCACCATGTGAAAGTTCTACTGAAGAGGCTTTATCTGAATGGTTAAACCAAGTATTTTCTTCGAGACTGAACAGTTACAAAGAAATAACTGAGAAGATTTTGAATGATCTTATCATGGGACACTCATCCAATTCTGTGTTGATAACACCTGGCTGTATTCTCAAACCGCATTGGGCTTTGAAAACACCTAACTATCTGGTTGTTAAGTATTGCGTTTGCTTATCTTTTTCACTTCAACCATGCATTAGTAAAAAGTAGATATATAATATTTTGAAGGTTTTTTGGTTTCAACTAACAACTGTATGCATGGTGCAATAGCGGTTAGATTAATTTTATGGAGTATTCAATATTTAGCCGCAGCTACGGTTATGATGCCATGTTTTCGAGAATTGTCGCCGCTGCACTAGTTATTGACAAACCCCGTGTGATTTTGATGCCAGGGAATCAAGTCATTAAATTTTGAACGATTTTTTTAGTTATTTTCAGCTGTAGCCATCGTATCACGTGCGCGAGGGTGGCTACCCGTGATTTTCACCATGCGCTGGCGACGCAACCATGCATTTAGAAAAAAAAATCGCATCACCATTTCCAGTAAACTGAAGTCTATTTGAACTATTGGGCAATGTCTTTTACGAATACTGCTTATTTAGTCTAGTTTCTGGCGATGTCAGCAGCTGAATTCAGTCATTTTTAGGCCTGTTTTAGCCACTGAACTTGGTTTCTGCATCGGAGGAAAATAGTCGCTGCTGATGTAGTCCAGTTTCTGTAGATTTTCACGGATTTTACCGCGTGCAGAATTTCTGCATCCGTAGCTGAATTAAGTAATTTTCACGGATTTTACCGCGTGCAGAATTTCTGCATGGTAGCTGAATTCAGTACATTTTAGGCCTATTTTAACGACTGAACATGATGCAGAATTTCTGCATCGGGGGAAAATAGTCGCTGCTGATGTAGTCCAGTTTCTGTAGATTTTTACGGATTTTACCGCGTGCAGAATTTCTGCATGGTAGCTGAATTCAGTACATTTTAGGCCTATTTTAACGACTGAACATGATGCAGAATTTCTGCATCGGGGGAAAATAGTCGCTGCTGATGTAGTCCAGTTTCTGTAGATTTTACGGATTTTACCGCGTGCAGAATTTCTGCATGGTAGCTGAATTCAGTACATTTTAGGCCTATTTTAACGACTGAACATGATGCGGAATTTCTGCATCGGGAGAAAATAGTCGCTGCTGATGTAGTACAGTTTCTGTAGATTTTCACGGATTTTACCGCGTGCAGAATTTCTGCATGGTAGCTGAATTCAGTACATTTTAGGCCTATTTTAACCACTGCACAGGATACAGAATTTCTGCATCGGGGGAAAATAGTCGCTGCCGATGTAGTTCAGTTTTAGCAGATTTTCATTCTGCATGCGGTGAGATCAAGTTTTCTTAGGGTCAGCATATTCAGAAGTTTTACTGGCATGTTTAACTGACTGCCAAATTGTGACGGTCAAATAAAGGCTTTCTTTACTGAACCGGTTTCGTTGTTGTTAGGAATGATAAGATTTTCAATGAACAGCGTATAGGCTCCGAGGAATATTCACTTTCTCAACGGAAAATACTGGTTTTGGAAAAACCCATTTTAGTTTGGAACGCGTTAAAGTTGGCTCACTTAGTTAGATCAGACAAGCAAATGACCCTTTTACACAAAACAAGTTTTGTCCTTAAACTAAAAGTAACTTAACGTTATCGATTAAATGTGTGTGTTTTTTTTAAAGTTGAAAGATTATGCCAACATTACTTTATGTGCAGGTAGCGGGAACCATTAAAATATGGTTTTGAATAATGTCAACTTGTCGATTTTATTGACAGTGCTTTAAAAGCTACGTGTTTCTCTTTTTATAAGGTCGGTTCTTTCGTCTGTTAACTTTGGAGATGTTAACTTAGTGGATAAAAGAGAAACATGTTTCTAGCAATAGCCTGGATCAAGCTACTATCGAACAAAGCTACTGTTGAAAAATGGTGAAAGGGCTAGGCGTATCACCAATCTAGCCAAGCTAACTTTATGTCTTTCATCTAAACTGTCCAGGAAGTTTTCTATAGAAATATGGGAAAAACTAACATTTTTTTATACGTACAGGTAATAGCCTGAATCATCCTGTTTTGCGTTCTTCTTGTTATCGAGATAATAACCAGAATCTCTGAAATATAATCGAGACAATTGAAATCATAAAAGGGAAGTTTATATTTTGTTTTAATTACCAATAAAAACCACGACCGTTTATTTGCTTGGAGCCATCGTTGTAGAAAAGAGATGCGCCCAACCCAGAAAACGATAAATTAACTCATCGTTGTCGTTGATAGTGATTCCGCCAAACCATGTGATTTTGTGTTTGGTCATATTAAAGTTTTCATAATAAGATGCAGCATCACTGGAACATATCTTACCGATAGACAATGATGTTTCCAACCGTAAAAACCCGTCCTTTGAGTTTGACCCCGAAATTGAAAAGGGGTATCCCGCCAAGGGACGTCATTTTCCTAAGCGACCCAAGTTTCTGTTTCTTAATGTAAACTTTTCGCCAAATTTTGCTTGGGAATGGAAGTTGCGTCACCCAGGTTAGCTCAGACAGGCGAGCTAGGCTAGGCGTGTCATCTATCTAGCCAAGCTGATTTTATGTATTTCAGGTAAACTGTTCAACAAGTTTTCTATGGAAATATGGGAAATACCAACATTTTTTTATACGTACAAGTAATAGCCTGAATCAAGCTTCTTTGCGTCTTGCTTTAAAGCGGCGGCATCACTGAACGGCCGCGGTCGTCGCTTTTTCTTAGCGACAAATAAAACTTTTGAAGGCGTTTGTTCAGCTCTTGCGGGGAAGTTTCTTCAAAGGGATCGAGTTATGAATTCTGTTTGTATTTAAAATAGTTCTGTAACAAAGATTATTAAATTTAGTTTTAAGCTTATTTATGAACAAGTCAACTAAATAAAGTAACGTAAGACTCAAGATTAATTTGCATTTGTAAAGAAAAACTTTTTCACCGGTTTTATCGATAACTATTCAAGTCAAAAAGACAAAGGTTTAACTGTTAAAACCTCCAAAGCGAACTTCGTTACCTTCTTCATGTATTTCGGAAATAGCTTGCTTGATTAGTTGTGAAATCTCTTAGTTTGTTACAGCAGCAAACCGGGAAAGCATTTTGCTCGCAACCTAAGCGAGTTTGGCGTCGCTCGCTCGGAGGAACTGGAGGTGAATCAGTGAATAGTGCAGGATATTCACTGACTGAGTAGCCAATCAGAGCGCACGAAAAACACTATCCACTGTTTTGGTATATACTAAACAGATTTATTCACTGTTTGGAACCAATATGTAAGACAGGATATGAGTTTTACCCATAAAACATTCGAACGGTTTCTTTTTTATCTACTTTTAACAGAATAGTTCATTGTCGTCATTGTAGTTCTTGTGTTTTTGGTCTGTTTTTCAAGGTAATCATGAATTTAGTCGATAAACACAACTTGGTATATATTTGATGCGTGATGGCTATCAGTGGCAAGTTCAAAGCTTTCTGTACACTAAATTACAAATATTTTGTTCAGTGCTTTCTCGATGGCTATGGCTAATTATGGTGCCTTACTACAGAATTTTATTCACTGTTTGGAACCAATATGTAAGACAGGATATGAGTTTTACCCATAAAACATTCGAACGGTTTCTTTTTTATCTACTTTTAACAGAATAGTTCATTGTCGTCATTGTAGTTCTTGTGTTTTTGGTCTGTTTTTCAAGGTAATCATGAATTTAGTCGATAAACACAACTTTCATGACAGCGTGCGTGACACGCACGCTAAGCAAGCCACGTAAGGTCTCTCGCGCATACAAAACGCACGCGAGCGAGACAAGGAAAACCCCGAGATCAAACAATATATGAAAACCTTCCGAAAACAATTCCCTATTATTCCGGGGTTTCTAAAAAGTAATTTTGTGGCAAACTTTTTAGATATTTAGGTTCAGAAAATGTAAAACTTTGTTTTTTGTTACTTTTTGGTTTTCGCAGGTTTTCGGCTCAAGAATCGGGCAAAGAGAATTAAATTTTCGCACTGGCGTGTCACCTATGTTATTTTCGACAAGTAAAAAAACGTTATATTATGAACAATTGGATGATAATCGCTCTTGTACCTGCAGATTCTGTTCTAGTTTAATTTAAAATACAACAGTTGCTTTTGTAATGAAACCTCAAGTTTAAATATGCGCTTGAAACAAACGAGAAAAAAAAAATATAAGCTTACATAAAAATGACAATATCATTCAGTTTCTAGCCGAAGCTGACAAAGGAACACAACCAAACTGGATAGGTTTCGTTTTTTTAATCTGTGTTTTGCAAGGTATCATCAATAAATCCTTAATGCATGAAATCTAAAAATTCTTCGAACGTGAAAATAAAGTTTCTCCAAAACAGTTATTCTAAGAAGAAAAAGGTAAGCCATATTTCGGTCATTGACAACACTGCCACTGAAAGAGTTGGTGATAAGCGTTGATTAAGTGATTAATTTTGCTGGCAGTAGCAGACAACTACAACTACAATCAAAAGCATTCATGTGCAAATGACAAATAGGGATATTATCTGGAGAAGATTTTTTCACAAGTTTACTCAAAATATCAGTACTTAACAATGCTACTCATGCAAAAATATTTATTTGAATTAATTTAAAGGTAACAAAAATAGATTATTTTCTGAACTTATATGAATGAGATACAAAAGAACAGATAGTTAAAAATGATATATAGTACAAATATTTATTTACCTATACGCACATGTATACTTATGTTTTTTCTGAATAAAACACGTACCAATCTTATGATTAGTGTTCGTAAAATAATGCATTTACCTTTTTAACCCGCTTAAATGAAA